ATTATCATTGTTAATTTTCAGAAATAAATTATGGAAACTGGAAGTACCTAAATCCCTTTCCAAATCACATGAGCTAAATAAGCAGCACACTGTATCCTTGTAAGACTGAATAATACATGTGTGAAAAGGAAGTAATTACTCCATGTAATTTTCCTACATAGATGTCAGCTGCTAGTTCCATAGGTTATTGAATAGTAGAGCCCCAGAGGCCTAGGGCCAAGGAAGATGGAATGTTATTCATCCCCAATGCACCCCTCCCCTAGGTCAGCCACTGATGTGGAAGTATACCAGGTATACCTAAGGATAAACAGGAGACATTTTGTCCTCTAAAGAATCAAATTATAAACTAGAGAATTAAATTAGGTGGTAATTTCATGCAAACACTGCTAGGAAGATCACCCACTGAGTACTAATGTGACCAAGAAAGTATGAGGCTGGCCTTGAAGATGTCATAGTTGAAGAGTCAATAGATAAAGTGTAGGACTGACAGCTGGTTGTTGTGTGGTCTAGCTCACCACGTAAAGAGAACCTTCACAGCGCACATAAGTGCGATAAAACACCTAAATTACTGGGAACATTTGAAGTTCCTTGATTTGTATTCCCTGGAATGCAGGTGGGAGAGATATATGATTATATACACTTGGAAAATCCTTGAGGGATTAGTACCAAACTTGCACATGAAAATCACTCCCTATGAAAGCAAAAGACTTGGCAGATGATGCAACATTCCCCCAATGAAAAGCAGAGGTGCCACTAGCATGATAAGAGACAACACAATAAATGTCAGAGGTGCAAGACTACTCAACTGCCTCCCAGCATACATAAGGGGGATTATCAACAGACCCCTGGCTGTCTTCAAGAAGGCTTTGGACAGGCACCTAAAGTCAGTACCTGATCAGCCGGGCTGTGGCTCGTACATCGGGTTGCGTCCTACCAACGGTAACAGCCTGGTTGATAAGGCCCTGACTCACCACGAGGCCTGGCCACAGACCAGGCCGCTGAGGCGTTGATCCCCGAAGCCCTCTCCAGGTATACCAATGGGAAAAATGGGGTCTGGCTGAAGCTGGTCGTAGAAAGCAGGAGTGAAAAAAAGGAAGAAAATGAGGCAGAAGTAGGTATACTGAGCAAACACTGGTTAAGTCTCTTTACAGGCAGGTGGTAAGTGATGGGCTGGGGATACATTGTATACCTCATGGATCATTAGAACCAAAATGAAGAAAAACTTATCTTGCATTTTGTGATAAAAGTTTTAATTTTTTTTTTTTTTAACACATCAGCCATTTCCCACTGAGGCAGGGTGACCCAAAAAAAAGAAAAACCCACAAAGAAAGAAAAAACTTTCATCATTCAACACTTTCACCATCACTCACACATAATCACTGTCTTTGCAGAGGCACTCAGATACAACAGCCTAGACATCCCTCCAAACAGCTAATATCCCAAATCCCTCCTTTAAAGTGCAGGCATTGTATGTACTTCCCATTTCCAGGACTCAACTCCAGCTAACCGGTTTCCCTGAATGCCTTCACAAAATATTACCCTGCTCACACTCCAACAGCTCATGTTGTAAAAGTCAACTAAAATCATGTTGTAAAAGTCAACTAAAATGCCGGGAGCAATGGGCTAGTAACCCCTTTTCCCATATAGCCTACTAAAAAGAAAAAAGATTTAAATATCAATTATATTTATATCATTACTACTATATTAATGCTAGCTTTCTAATACAGTACAGTACTTACCAACTTTGATCTTACAAACTATTTGTACCAGGTATGTTTTCTATTTTAACTTTCATAAATTAGTACAGTATACAATGTAAACTCTTATGCGAATTTCATGAGATACATGTTAACGCTTGTTACACGCATAAGCCTGATCCTATTGCCCACTTACAATTTCCTTTAGTTTAGTAGCCTTCTTGTCTTCCTGATAGTTTTAAATGTTTGTTTTAGTACTGCTTTATAAATATTACAATCACTAAACTGTTTTTAATTTATTTTTACAAATTTAAACACACATTATTATTACAACACTATTGTATATTATTATTAATGCAGAAACTAGTTAATACAGTATATGTGACAAATGTGAGCAACCATAATTTTGCTAGGTGCCGTCCTAATGAGGCTAGAAGAAAGTTCTAATACATTGCATATTATTATTTTGCACTGAAAAGTATAGGCAATCCCTGCAAAACAAATTGAATTGCTTAATGAGGTGAATTATGAGAAAATCACTGGTAAAGTGAAGCACATTTCTCTTCAGACTTACAATATATACACAGAGGTATGTTTCAGAGAAAAAATGACCAGGCCTACTATGAAATAACCAAAAGAAAAATAAACCAAGAAATAAAGACATTTATGATGGTGAATGTGTTTTCGTCTTCGACTCACTTAGCATTGGTGAGAAAAAGCCAATACTAAAAAAGAAAAGTTAACAGACATGAATAATCATCAGAGATGGACGAGAAGGTTATATAGAAAAAATTAATGGTAAGATTTGGAATTGGATGTTAAGAGTGACAGGATCACTTTTGTTTTGGTGAGTATTATACCATCAAAATATGCCCAATTTTGTTTCATGTATAATAATTTCCCTTACTCTCCGCATTTCTTATTACTAAACGTTACTTTGACCTTATTTTGGAGGAAGCAAACAAACTAATGTTATACAGTGGAACCTCAAAAATCGAACTTAATCTGTCCCAGGAGCTAGTTCTGAAATTTGAAGCAATATTTCCCATAAGAAATAATGGAAATACAAACAATCCGTTCCAGAAACCCAAAAATATTCACACAAAAACATACATTTTATAGAGATAATTACAGTTTTACATACAACAAATACTATAGTTTTTAATTATGTATAGTAATATGTATATATAAAATAACATTTTTACTTATCTTTATTGAAGATTGGTGATGGCATCTGGAAGATAGGGAGGAGTAGAGAGGGAGTTGGGGTTAGTGTTTGGAAGGAGAATCCCCCTCCATGAGGACTTCAGGTAAAGCCCTCTCTGGGGTTACTTCCCTTCTCTGTCTTTTAATGCCACTAGGACCAGCTTGAGAGTCACTGGACCCCTGTCTCACAAAATAACTGTCCACAGTCCTCTGTTTCTGGTGCCTCTTTAACATTTCCCTAAAATGGGACATGGTTCTGTCACTGAACTTGTTGCAAAGATGGCTTGTTTCAGCTTGCTCAGGGTGGTACTTCTGCACAAACATTTGGACATCATTCCACTTCGCACAAATCTCCTTAATCTTTGAAGAAGGCACCTCATCCACTCCCTATATTAACACCTTTCGTAACATCAGCTTCCTTGATTTGTTCTTTCTTTGACAGGATAGAACCGATGGTTGACTTATTTTTCCCATACATCCTGGCAAGCTCAACAAGTCTCACACCACTCTCATACTTTTGTATTATTTCCTTCTTCACATCTATGGTGCTTCTCACTTTCTTTACCACAGGGGTACCACTAGCAAGTTTCTTTGGGCCCATTGCAGCTTATTTCACAGTCCCACAAGCACTAAACACAACGAAATAATCGTAAAATGCGTGAATGAGAGCACAGGTTAGTGTTCACTCAAGCATAAACAAAGCTAGACTGCTCATGGCGCCTGTATGGGGACGCGGACAGAGCGGGCCGGCAGACAGGTCCCGTACCCGGTGGTCCGAAAATAGGGGCGCATTCGATAATAGGGACACAGTTTGTCCGAAAAAATGGTCCTACTTTCGAAACGTTTGATATGTGATACGTTCGATTTTTGAGGTTCCACTGTATATGATAAAAATAAAATAACGAGGCACTTACGCTGACCACCATCAACTGGTGTGACTAGCGTGAGAGCCTCGTCCCACCTTCAACCCAGTGAGTGACATAGTAGTATTAATATATACAGGTTCACACATTAGCTATACAAGTTTGTTTGCTAATATCTCACACTAAAATGAATTCTTGTAAAAAGTAAATACAGTATAGTACTCTACTTGTAAAGCAAGGACTGCCTCTACTGGCTTTTTACTTTAAGAGAAATATGCATTACCACAATAACATCTATGAAAAGAGAGGAATAAGGAATAGACAATTGATGGACAACAAAAATACATGTAATGGCAGTGGCAAAAAAAAAAAAAATTATTAACTTTTTTCTAATGAATCTAGATAGCCTTTTACTTCCAAAAAAAAAAAAAAAAACAGTTGGGCAATATGATTACACAACACTTGGGTTAAAATTTCAGTACACTATGGCAGGTACATAAAAATACTTAATTTTTTCTTAACACTTTACTTATTCTTGCCATCATTTAGTTCCAGTTTAGCACTTAGCACACACAAAAATAATCAAACTTCAAGAGCATTATTCTCATGTTATAGCTAAACAGCAATTGCAGGTTGGTTTCTGAATCAGATCAGTGTTTAGCTTTGAATATTCCTGAGGATGCAGCTGAAATTGGAGGTGCAGACCAGCTTTCAAGTAAATCTAAGCTTTGACTCATATTCACTCAAAAGAATTATAATGCAGATTATTACTGCTTGCTAAAGAAATTATATTTTGCTTAGTCTATATTCGCACTTCTTCTTACTTGATATCTTTGGTTGTAAACTTTTACATAAAACCTTCCTGTTTGCTCTTAAGTACTTTTTATGCAAGCAAGCACCAATTATTCTGAAAGGTCAATATCCAAATTAGTGTGAGTGAGGTAACATTTATGAAGGGATTCAGGGAAACTGGTTAGCCAGACTTGAGTCCTGGAGGTGGGTAATACAGTGTCTGTACTCTGAGGGAGGGGTGATATTTGCTGTTTTTCAACTGGAGTACCAGCACACCTCTGGCAAGACAGTGATGGAGCGAGTGATGATGAAAGTGTTTCTTCTTTTTTAGGTCACCCTAGCTTGGTGGGAAATGGCTGAAGTGTTAAAAAAAAAAACCCAAATGGAGACAGAGAAGTATAATGGATTATCCATTATATTTTGACTTCCAACTGAGATTCCCTTCAGCTGGAGGTCAAAATGGATATCCATATGGATACTAACCTTTCATTTACAAGTGTTCATCACACTTTGCTGTATCATCAACTGTTTATTGATGTAGTAGCTAAATAATACTAATATTTTCAATGAATGTTTTAAGCATTTTCGCTTGGCCTCTTATTCCTGAAGATATAATATAAGCAGGAGTGAACCGATATAAAATAATATAAAAATAGCTACCATCAAAAAAGAAAGTTTAGATTCTACATAGTATAAAGAAGGAATCTGATTACATCAATTTAGTCATTTGTAATAATTCACAAGCTAGAGGAGTTCTACCTTAAGAAATGTATATAAATATCGAGGGTTATTTTGGTATGCATAAATTGGAAAGTACACACATAAGAGATGAACCATATAAAATATAAAAGATTATATAAAGGTAGAAAATGTGCAGTAGTGTAAGCCTTGTAATGGTTTATCTTGTAAATGTAGTCTAAGATCCATTACACAATAGAGTAAAACAACAATATTCATCATGTGCTTCCTTTAGCAAAGCCAGCCAACCAATTTATGAGAACAGTATAGCATTTCCTCATTCATATTCAGTAAGAAGATATTAAAAATACTGTACACATGATGTACTGAAAGCACTGTAAAAAGTATAAAATATAAACATGAGAAAGGTTGACGAGGTTTTATAGATAAAATCAAATTCCTTATACAACTTCAAAGTGTCCTATTTTTTCAATATACAGTAGACTCTCACATAACACATTCATGTAGCACATTATCAATAAAACACTAATGAAAATTGTATTTTCCATTCCAGCATTGTTAGGAAAAAATCAGCATAGCATGCATTACCATGCCATTTATTTGAGAAATAATCATTAGCCCATGTTGCATGCTAATTCCTATTAGAACACACTGTGAGATACAGAATTTTCCCCTCCCTCAGCTTACAGCAGAATTATTGTTTTTGGAGCGAAGACCTATTGTCATACAGTACAATGTAAATGACCTCCCATGCTCCAACTGTCTCATGGATGTGCACCATACCTTACTCAGATGTGCATGATTAAGACAAGTTTGGATTTTTTATCACCCCCATCTCGTCTCTGAATATTAGCCATGACATCCAAGAGAAATACTAGGATACTACAAGTGCCACAAAGAATAAACATTTATCTCTGAAAGTACTTTACAGTATTAAAGAAAGTGTTAATTTTAATATGCTCACATGGTGGTCCATGACTATGCATGTCTTACTCTGTGTTTACCAAATGATTTTTTGGTATTTTTGGTACTTCATCTTATCTCTGGATGATTTACTAATGATGCTAGAGATGGCAAGAATGAATCTCTGATAATACTGAAGGTATTAATTTTAATTAGCTACATGGTGGTGCATGACTGTATTTGATGCCTTACACTGTAAGAGCTACAGTCATCTATCACAGCACAAGAGTGTCACACCCAGGGCCTCAAGAAAAATTTTGCAAGGCAGAACAAGACTGCTTTGGGGCCCTTGGGGGCTGGCTGAGGTCCCCAGCCTAAATGGATTTTACATAATTATTTTTTTAAGTAAAGTAAAAATATTATAAATGGTTTAAAAAAATGACAAGTTGAAAACTGAGACACTCATGCAACATATGGAAATCTTTATTGAGGAAACGTTTCACCACACAGTGGCTTCATCAATCCAATACAAAGCAGAAAGGTATAAGGAGAGGAGGAGTTTGAGGTAATCAGTCCTTCAGCCTGGAGCCAATGTGTTCAGTCCATCAATCTTGTAGAATGTACAGCATAGGGATCTTGATACAAAGAATTCTTCAAAACTTGTCCAACCTTTGGAAAAAGACCTATTTAGATTAGTGGATGGTTCCACTATGACCATGCCTCCTGCTTCGCCTCACCTGACTACAGTATATACGCCACGTCTACGGCCCTATGCTGTACATTCTACAAGACTGATGGACTGAATACATTGACTCCAGACTGAGGGACTGATTACCTCAAACTCCTCCTCTCCTTACACCTTTCTGCTTTGTATTGGACTGATGAAGCCAGTGAGTGGTGAAACATTTCCCCAATAAAGATTCCCATATGTTGCATAAGTGTCTCAATCTTCAAAGTAAAAATATTTGAAATTACCCAAAAAATCAAATGGAAAAAATAAAAATAAAACATCTATGACTATGGGGCCCCTTCAGAGATTCACAGCCAGGCCCTGGACCAATGTACTGGCTGAACCCCTCCCCCCATAGGCCCTGGCACACCAACCTCTTTATGCATGTCAAGACAAACAAGTACTACCAACTAAAATTAATAAATCAATAAATAAATAAATAAATAAATACTGTTTGTACAGCAATGCATGCAATCATACGAACTGTTTTTGTAATACTCATTTGTGCTTGTTATCTGTTTACAATAATGTTTTACCACTGAATACTTCATTGCTTAGTTAATCTTAAGTTAATTTTAAGCCTGCCCGTAATGCTATGCATTCAAGTGGCTTTGGCATGCTGCATTTAACTGTATTCTTTTGTATTTCACTGTATCGTGTTCAAATAAATAAATAAATAAATAAATAAATGACAGAAAAATAGTTTTAGGTAATCTTCTGTGATTCTTTTGGAGGCCCAAGAACCTAATCCTTCTTCTCCCTTATATTTTTCCGTTTACATAATGCAGATTTCTCATAACACATGCTTTTTAAGGAACATAACCATGTTATGAGAGTCTACCATACATAGTATAGTATATACAACTATATTTATAACTTCTTAAATGTGCTAAAAGAGTAAGAATCTTTAAATGCTACTCATTTACCAGTCCTCATTCACACATGTAATACAATAGTGACAATGCTCATCAAGTAATAATCTGACTTACAGCTACGAGAAAGAGAGAACGTAACTAATATCTGTACATTAACCCTTTCAGGGTCCACAGGCCCTCTCAGACTTATTCTCAGGGTTGCCCAAATTAAAAAAAAAAAAAAAAAAAAAAATTCTCATGAAAAGATAGAGAATCTTTTCCTGATCAAAATGACACCAAAAGTATGAAATTTGATGGAAAACTTACGGAATTATGCTCTCGCAAAGTTAGCGGTCTCGACGATGTTTACGCATCGGCGATTTTGCCCACTTTGAGCCCTATTTTCGGCCAATTCCACTGTATTAGTCGACAAAAATCATGAATATTTCGCTAGAACTCCATTTTTTCTATCAAATGAGTGCAAGAAACCACCCATTTACTGATTTCAAGTATCCAATACAGTGGTCAGAATTTAGCAATTTTGCCAATTTCACACAAATTTCAAAAGATGCCAATTTCCAAATAGGGTCCAGAATAAACAAGGACATTCCTGGCACTAAAATGACATTTCCTCTGTTCATTAGTCACGTCCCAACACCCCTCTTACATTCTTTTGCTTTCCACTTTGAATTTTTATTCTCACAAAAAATAGAAGATTTACTGTTATACAGACTACTGCAGTAGTGTAAAAAATGGTATAAATAATATCGGCGCACTTTTGAAAGAATATTAGACTCACCAGTTGACGTGTAAATAAATCAAGCTTAGCTTGATTTATTTACTTTTGAACTTCGGTAAAAATCGAACATTTCTGCTACTTTGAGCTCAATTTCAAGGTACTTTTCATTATAAAATCAGTCAAAATCATCTCAATTTCTGTAATATGTCTTCCATTCTATAGAATGAGACCAGGAAAACTAGAATACAACAATAAATACCATACGAAAATATAGTGCAAAGTCGCTGTTTTAATCCAAAAACATGGTCAAAGTTTTTTTTTTCTCATTATGCACTGTGTGCTGCAGGATTTTTTTTATACTGTGCACACTGACCACATAGACCCATTCTTTCATATGTAGGCCTACCAGCTTTCTCTCACTAGATTTGAGGGCGCTAGAATTTAGGCGTACTAGTACGTCAAAAACCCTGGTGCGTATGCCGAAACCCTGAAAGGGTTAAAGGTGTATTTCCTACCAAGGTAATATTTTACTTTAAACATTAAAGTTATGGTAGGTCAGGTCCATGTGCTCCCACCAACCTAATTTAAATGATAAAAGTAAAATAATGTGTGTGCATCATATTTATGAAATGTACCTCTAATGTAAGGATATTTATGCTCTAGACTAGCTCTAAGCCATATTTTAATTGGACATTAAGTATTAATTTTGTATAGGGTATGCAACTAATGATAGGGTGTAACAGTCAAGAGTTGTGCTGACTCTTAATAAGAGGTCAATGTTGCATTCAAGATTAATAAAGTATCAATTTAAGAGAAAATGTAATAATAATAATATACAGAATAAGCCTTTATTAGGACTACATTTATTTCAGGGTTGAGCCTGATAAAGCTCAATCCTGAATGAAAAATATTTCCAGTAAAAGCTTATTCAATATACTGTGTCATTATACTCATACCTCTTGGCAATATGCCTCTATATCCATAACAAAATATTTTGTCTGGACTGCAAGTAATCACTAAAGTTAAATTGATATACTATTAATAACATTTGTTAAAATAAGTTTCTTATAAAAACACTTCACGCTAAGGAGTTTATCTAGTAAAAACTATAAAACAATATGAGGCTTCATGAAAAATGAGAAAGATTTACAAATCCATCCAAAATTACTAAAAAATGGCATTCAGACCATTTGGGTAGAAAAAAAATGCTTCTTACACAGTACGTATTAAATAGCTGAATATTCAACATTCACTGGGCTCATCTTGCCTCTGAAATATTTAAGTGTAACTATAATATTTGGCAATGACTAAGTTCAGGAAGATATGAGCACAATTAATAGGTAAGAAGAATCTTACTGATTATTGGAGACCTGCACATTGGACATATAAGAAGTGGAGTGCAACACCCAGCACAAGAACAAACATGGCCACATGGCAAAAACACAACCTCACATGCTGAATTTAAGCATACCACACACTCAGCTTCAACAAACTGCCCATCAAAAGGTAGAGCAGATGCCTCTGCCTCTCCATCTTCAAAAGCCGGCATACTTGGCATCTCTCTCTTATCTATCTCAGGAGCTGAAGGAGCAAAGGGCAAGTCTGCTTCAAGTGGAGCTGAAGGAATTTGGTCTTGAAGCTTTGAGGCAGCTAAATGATTCTGTAAAGCACGTTGCAAACTGCGATAAGTTGCTGGTCCAATACCCATTTCTGACGCATCCTCTTCTGTGAGATCCATTAAACGAGAGAAGGTAATTGAATTATGAGCAAACACTGGTGTTAAATCAAGAGCATTAGCAGCACACAGAACTTCTCGTACTTTAGGCTCTAATTGGGCTTCAGCTTCAGCCAAACCAGCAGGTTTCAGAGACAGAAGTCGCTGATACTGGACTAGCCAAAACTCTTCCTCAGGTACATCTGGAGTTCTAGAGTCTTCTAGCTGAGCTAGCCATTCCATCAACTGAGCTTCACGCTCATTCTTCTCATCCAAGAGAGATTTTAGCAAACCAACTAGAGTAGCTCGCTGCTCCAACATTGTGCTCGACCCATATTTAATACCATACTTCCTCTTTCGTACCTCCAATGAAGAAAGGCGCGCCAACTCATATTCTATCTGGCCAATCTGTAATTCATAACATCGTTATATACATGTATTCAAAACTCAAATATTTAAACAGGAAAAGTTATAGTTTATAGAAAAATAAAAGACAATGTATTGAAACTCAAAATCACAATATATCAGGATATAAAGAAATCCTTTTTTTTAGCTATAAATTATATTTCTGCTCTTACAGTGTGAAATATAATGATCTACAACCAACACAGCCTCATACCCATGCACCTCCTCAAAATACTAATTTTAATTTCTAAGCAAAAATTCTTCCATATTGCAGTACTACTCCATTACTACTCACAATGCAAAGATGATTTATCAAATAATGAGTATGCTTTCATTCACTCACATTCCCTTATAAAGCACTTCCACTGCATAATATACAGGCAGTCTTCCAGCAGTATGGAGTCAGTAATTCCATTTTTAAGAATAAATAACACTTTCAGCAAACACCACTCCCACATGTCTACATCTACTTAACTCCAAATTTGTCTCCATCCAGATTAATCAGTATACACTACAATATCTTTAACCAGCATATGAATATTACTCTTAATTCTCTCACCTACATTTGATGCTTCAAATGTACAGACCAGCTCCAGTCTTGTTGGTGGATATGATATTTGAGGGGATGCAATGGTGGACAAGTGGATGCAATGATAGATGAGTGGAAGCACTGGTGGATAACTGAATGTGATGGCAAATGCATGGCTATGACGGTGGATGAATAGATGTGATGATGGATATGGATGAGTTGATGTGCTGGTAGATGAGATGTGATAGTGGGTGAGTGAAGATGATGATGGATGAATGGATGTGCCAGTGGATAAGTGGATATGATGGATGAGTCTATGTGATGGTGGATGAACTGCTGTGGTTGTGGATGAGTGGATGTGAATATGTACACTATGAGGGTGGCTCAATGATCTCTGCTTATTTCACTACATATTGAAATAAGTATTATAGTTCACAAGTGCAATGTAAGATAAATCAATAACGTATTAACATTTGTATTCCTTACCTGTCTGAGAATATTATTGCGATGTAGATCAGATTTGAGTAGTAGTAGTCTAAAAGCAGCAGCCTGACATTCTTCATCCTTGAGCAAAGTAGAAGCCCATTCCTCTTGATCAGCTAAGCGCGATGTTAGTACTCCTTTGAGATGAGAGTTGACTAGATCAGCCTCTTCCAGCAGAGCACAAACTCGAGCCCCCTGTTCCTCTTGCACAGCAAGTCGTCGTTGTTCTGCAGCCGCTTCCTCAATCAGCACACTCTTCATTGCTGCAACCACCTCTGAATGACGTAGCTCAGATGCCGCTTCCACAATACCAGAAAGCAACGACTGCATTTCTTGCTCTTGATCGTGAAGCAAGCACAGAAACTCCTCACTTCTCCGAGAGGCAGTAGAATTAACAAGCTCCTGAAGAGCAGCAGCAGTCTCTTGCTCTGTAGATGCCAAATCTCTTAATAAATTATGTCGTTCTTTTTCCTTAGCTGTCACCAGACCTTCCACTTCAAGGTCCAAATTAGCTTGTTGGGTAGTTAGTTCACTGATTAAAGATTCTTTGTTACTTGATGATGCCAAATATTTTTCCAGCTGTTCTGCCTGTTCTGCACGCATACTTTCTTCTATATTGTACTGTTCTTGCATAAGTTTTAGTTTCTTTCTTTCATACTCCATGGCTTCTACAGGAGTTTGAGAAATACCTTCTAAAAGATGTTGTTTATTATTACTCATATCCTGTAACATATGGGCTAGCTGCTGCTGTTCCTTAGCTTGAAATTCTTCTTCTACAGCCAACTGGGCTTTAACTTTCTCATCTTTTCTACACATGTAGCTAAGAAATACCTGATCATCTTCATATGGCTCAATTCTTGTAGTATATGCATGTGGAGAGGCACACTCTGTAAGGTCCTCTTTTGACTCAGAAATCCCATCATATGTGAGCCCATGTTCTTCACAAAGATAACGCATGATTGCTTCTGTACCTTCTGCCACCACTGCAGGAGGTGGAGACTTAAGTTTGTCTGAGTCAATTTCCAGTTTACAAAGACTACTTTGTAAATTACAAAACTCCTTTGGCAGTACAGAGATGTTATTCCCACTAAGGGATAACATTTGCAGTTTGGGCAAGGCACAGATGCTTACAGGCACTTTGGAAAACTTATTTGAGGACAAATAAAGTTCACTTAATTTTGTCAGTTCACTAATTGACAAAGGTAAACTTTTCAGTTTATTGTTATTAAGTTTCAGAACCTTGAGGTTCTTAAGCTTATTGATAGACTCAGGAAGATGAGAAAATTTATTATTTGTAAGATCTAAGAATTCTAATCCTTCAAGCTCCTGAAGTCTACCTCCTTTTTCAAGTGATGTTAAAGAATTATCTTTTAACAAAAGAACTGTTTTCTGCAACAATCTACACATAATAAAAGTGTCGGGTGGAAGTTCAAGCATGGCACAATCGGTGAGGTCATATACGGGCTCAGGATTCTGTTGGGCCATTACCACCTTTAGGCCCAACTTGGCCCGCCGTTCTTTGTCACTCATGGTGGCAGCATTTTCTCTCTTAAACAAGCATCCGAATGGCATCCTGACATCTCTTTCTCCCCTGTTGTAGCAGTAACTCTGATAGCCGTCATCACCTCACTAATTTATGATCATGTCTAGGAACTTTGAAATCACTACAGGCATAATTCTGAAATATAATTTGCTACAAATTCCTGTGAAAGAATATCTTATATTTTATTAATGAGCAAACTTACATAATTCAACATCCACTATAATACTGTGCATATATTACAAATACAGTGCATTATTGCAATTATAATATCAACAGCACCCCATTTTTGCCATCCGCAATTCAATTATAAAAAAAGTTGGCTTGCTGTCAACTCCTGAAGTAAAATTAAGGATTTGATGAAAATATCTTAATAAAGTGCAGTGAACATCCAATAAAATGGATTAAAAGAGGGAAGGGGTATCTGCTTTAGTAAAAAATCCATTATATTGAAAGATCTGATCAAGCAAATGTAGTCCAGTTAACAGATCAACTACCAGACAATGACAAACGGCCAATAAAACACTTAGTCCATTGTATTGACAGATTACAAGGACATACTAAGAATAAACTAGAGTACAATAGAGTATTACCTCTAAATGTACTTGAAAAGAAAAGTTAAAAGTACAGTATAGTACAAAAGTACAGTACAGTAATTTTCATACCTTTTCTAGTGGATAGATAAGCTTACAGATGTATGTATATACAGTACAGTATTTCTATATGGCTTAGTGTTAGCCCAGAATAACATTCTGAGTAACTGGAGCTATAAAGCTCCAGCTTTACTGCTCGAGCTATAAAGCTCCAGCAGTAATGCTGCAGATGGTGTGGGAGACAGAGGTAGATGGTGAGGGAGATGTAGATGGCATGGGAGATTTAAATAGTTCAGCAAATGTAGATGGCTGAGGAGACAGATGGCTCAGGCTTAATGGATAGCAATCTACAGTGTACTTCATTGCATATGAAAAACTAAAGTGTAACTGAACACATGTCAATGCTCAATAATAACCCACGTGGATACAGAAAATCAGGAAATCAATTGATCTGTATATTTTGACCCTCGTTTGGGATCCTCTTCAGCAGATGAAGAGTTTTTCCTTGCTTCTACAAACGTCAAAAATTGTTTGCTCACACACTCCCAGGCCAATGAAAAGCCTCCAGCTTCCTCATTAACTGAAGTTTCTACTTAACAGTTAAGGTCACGCTTCATTACTTACTTTAAAGGTCATTGTTTATAAAATTGTACACTGTACTTTAATGAAATTATTAAAAATGCTGTAAATACAAGGGAAAATTGGAGATGAAATGACGATAGTGTGAGCACATATGTAGACAATATCAAACTGATTTAGGCCACATTGCATGGGAAAAGTTCAAATGGATTAAACGGAGTTGGCCCATTTTATTAACTGCATGACCGGACCAGATACCTGTTCAGTAGAGCAGATTTGGTCCGCTTCATGGCTATTTTAATCAGACACCCCATTAAACGTACACGTTGAGCTAATTAAGGTATGTGCTATATGGGGCTTAGCAGCACAACAGGTAAATGACATTTTAACCCTTAAACTGTCCAAACATAGATCTACGTCCACGTGCGGGGGGCTCCAAACGTAGATCTACGTTTTTTTTACATGCTTTCAAATGGGGAAAATCAAGGTCTGAGTGCTACGCACGTGAACATAGATCTACGTTTGAACAGCTTAAGGGTTAAAACAAAATTCTGCTTTAATGTCTACTGGTTGACGAATCTCCCCAGAATAATTTAAAATTGGTTATATAGTATACAAATCTGCTATTTTATCCAGGTTCCAATGTATGTATAAAAACTAAGTAAAGCAAGCAGTACTTTTAATTTTGCATTTAAAGCATAAATGTTTACTTAATAAGAAGTACAATTCCAGTTATATAAACTTAGACTTTGGAAAGTCACTGACAAAGTTTCACACACAAGTGGCCAGGGGCCAGGAGCTGTGACCTGACCCCTGCAACCATAACTAGGTGAGCACTGTATCACAGTATCTTTCTTAGAGCCAGGCAGAGTTGAGCAATACAGTACTATACAGTCAAAATTACATAAATAAAGAGAAGTCATAAGGAAGATCAGTTAAAACTGACATTTCATAGGGATCACTGTTAGGTAGACTTTTAGAACACCAGAGAGCTTTAGGGTGATTTGGAAAAGTTCACGTTGTAGTTAGGAAAAATGACATTATGCAATTTAATGGTCCATTAGAAGACTATATTTATGTCAGCTTGGAGGTTTGCTGTGTCTTCTACAGATGTCACTCTCATATAGATTCTAGTATCGTCTACAATGGATCATATGGTGCTATGATTTATGACTGTCATATATGAGAACATGAAAACAGGGGTAAATATTGTACCTTGGGGAACAACAGCTTTTCACTATGGCAGTCTCATATTTCTCCCTGTTCACTATTCCACTTGGGCACTATTTGTTAAAATATTAAATATCCATCTGGACCGGTTGGTAGCACACTCGCCTCACACATTGAGTGCCTTTGGTACAATTCCCAGCATAGGTGGGAACGTTGGGTATGTTCCCTTACATCTGCTGTCCCTGTTCATCTAGCAGTAAGCAGGTACCTGTGTGTTAGTTGACAGCTGTGGGTCACATCCTGGGAGACAAGATTAAAAGGTTCCCAATGGAAATAAGACAAGACAGTCCCTGATGACACTGACTTTCTTGCTTTATCCTGAGTGGCTAACCCTCTGGTTAAAAATCCAAACAAATCTTATCTCACATATTAGATTATGATAAAAGTACCAGACTGCTACTTGGCAGATTTTTGGCCATTAATTCTGACATATACAATGCAAATTTGTTTTACAGTTATTATTATTATTATTACAAGTTATTATTAATATTATTACAATCAAGGGGGAAGAGCTAAACCCATAGGATTATACAGCACCTGTGGGGAGGATGTGGAAGGCAGTCTGGCTTAATTCAGGGAACTGGAGAACAAATCCAATGCCCTAGATCAAGAGCCGCTCACCAGCATCAAGGACCCTTTCTTGAGGGGTGCACAAGGGTAAAAAGCATAACCAAGCCTAACGAAACCAACCTAAATAACGTAACGTAACTTAACCTTACCCTGACCATCAATACTGGCACGTATTTCTTACGTTCAGCCAGCGTGATGCGACTTAATACTAAACAGTGATTGGCTCTGACACATTCCTCTACCAAAATTAATATAATAATTTTGTTAATATCTCCCAGCAAAACAATTTCCTCAATAAATGCTCATCTATTTCATGGTGCACACCGGCTGCATGCATTGTAAAATGTAAACTAATGCCCGAGTTCCTTTGAGATGTAGTTGTAAACCTTAGCCTAGATTACAATTTTATTACTATTATTAATATTACATGTAAGGAAGTGCCAAAATATAATACCAGAAGACTGTAGACATATACAAATAGATGTAAGCTGATGTAGATTAATAATTATTATAATCAAAATGAGAAGTGCTATACCTACATGGAAGCTGACCTAGAATAATACCTATGAATTATAACTGTTTGCAAGTCCATATAAGATAGACAATACAGTGCTCATGGCTTGGTTGATAACATCCTCAACTGATAAATAGGATTAAAAATCTGAACAAAATCTTAACCCTGATGGAAACTTTAGTTCTGGAAAATTGTGGGGATATCCTAGGTTAAGTTATCATAATGTCACTTTTGTACACTACTGTTTGCAATATGTAAGATGAACCAAAATTACTTACATATATCGTAATGTATTTGTATAATAATTATCAATAGTTACACCCAAAAAATATACAACTCTTATAAATAGGACCTAATACACCCAATTCACACAGTCCGAATTATTTTCTTGAGTAACAGTCTTTCAGTCCACCTACACTCAGATATATAGAAAAATAGTTAATAGCTTTTTCACGTAAAAAAAATTGGTTAGTTTCAGACCACATTAAGTTTTTCCCACCGTAATGATTGTCTTCAGTTTATGCACAATTTTAATTAAAACTATTGGATGGGGTAGTTCCTGAACCCCGGTGGAAATTAAGCCATATATTACTTGACTTTGTTAAGTTATTCAGGGTGAAATAACCATATATGTTATTGATATCAGCTAAGTATATACTTGTAGAAATAAAAAAAACAGAATGTCTTGTAGTAGAAGTTGTCAAATACACAGTTGTGAATACAAGATATACTTGCACACGTTACCACAGGTGAATAATTATAATTATATTATAATCAAGGGGGAAGCGCTAAACCCGGAGGATTATACAGCACAGGTGAATAATAATGTGTAAGAAAGTTGGAAGGTTGTGGTGTTCTTCCAGCATACTGATAACTAACTGTATACTGATAACATGGAAAGGAAAGGAGAAAAATCAAGGACTATAAAAATTAAGGGCTCGTGAAATCATCAAAGAACCCCCAGTGGAAATAAGCCACACTGGACCTTTTTGGTTATCCCAGGTAATTAATGTAAGATAATTATACTTATTGCACCTATACTAAATATATTTCTCCAGTTCATTCATCAGTGCCCACCAACACACTAACTACTATATACTTCCTAGCACTTGTCGGCTAATAAAGTGTAAGACAAAGCAAGTGAAAATGTCATTAACCTTGTGGAATGGTCCAGCAGCCAGGGTAGCAAGATGAGTTAATAAAGAAATATATGTGGTATTATGTTAGAGATGTGTTGCTGCGTCAACTACAGTGGCCAACGCACTACTACCTATTCATAAACTTGTTAGTAAGTTTTATTTAGGTATACATGAATAGTTATATAGAATTATCATACAAGCATATGTGTAGGAGAACCTGGATAACCCAAAAAAGTCAGACAGTGACTTATTTCCATTATTATTATTATTATTATTATTATATTATTATTTTATGTATTATTATTATTATATTATTATTATTATTATATTAAGGGGAAGCGCTAAACCCAGGATTATACACGCCTGGGGGGGGGATGTGGAAGGCATTCAGGCTTAATTTCGGGACTGATTATATTATTATTATAATCAAGGGGAAGCGCTTAAACCGAGGATTATACAGCGCCTAGGGGAGGTGTGGAAGGCATTCAGGCTTTAATTCGGGGAACTGGAGCACATATCCAATTTCCTAAATCAAGAGGCCCCTCAAACCAAGTAACCTCCTTGAGGGGTCGGGGAACTGGAAGCACAGATCCAATTCCCGAAATCAGAGCCCCTCCCAATCAAGCCCACCCCTTGAGGACTTATTTCCATTGGGGTTCTTTATAATTTTGGGCCTGTCCAACTTATATAAATTTTGTTATAATTCGGTATGTTTGGTGTAGGGGAGGTTTTTTTTTTTTTTGTCTGTGTGAGGTTAAGCTTCATACCGAGGCTTCCGTGATGAGTATTTAGTTAAGTAGGTGTATTTTCTGGCTGCGGTCAGTAAATTCCTGTTGTATCTCGTTTTATTTATTATTATAATCACAACTAAGCACTAAACCCACAAGGGTCATACAACACGTATTCATAATGAGTATTTAGTAAAGTAGATGTATTTGCTGGCTGCCTTCACGTATATTAATCAGTTCACTACATTCCTATTGTACGTCCTTTTATCTTGACTGATTTTCACGCAATTCTAATAATAATAATAATAATAATAATAATAATAATAATAATAATAATAGTTTATTTTGACATGATACATGATTGTACAAAGAAATATAATAGTTGGATGTACATGTCAAAAGCCCCTCTGTATATACAGCATTTCGGGCAAACTTAATGTTACTTATATGTATTAATTTTTATAGTTATAATTATTATTCTTGATTTCTGCTGTATCTAATAGCAAGGTTGCTAATAATATATTAAAAAGAACCTAATGGAAATAAATCACTGACTTTTTTTTAGGGATTATCGTAGGTAATTTACAAGTATGGTATTATGTATGATAAATGTATGACCTAAACCCATGTAATTGTACTATGTGTAACTGTACCTTAATAAATTTACTTACAGTCTTCCTCAGTACATACCTGGAGTTTACCTGGAGAGAGTTTCGGGGGTCAACGCCCCCGCGGCCCGGTCTGTGACCAGGCCTCCTGGTGGATCAGCGCCTGATCAACCAGGCTGTTGCTGCTGGCTGCACGCAAACCAACGTACGAGCCACAGCCCGGCTGATCAGGAACTGACTTTAGGTGCTTGTCCAGTGCCAGCTTGAAGACTGCCAGGGGTCTGTTGGTAATCCCCCTTATGTGTGCTGGGAGGCAGTTGAACAGTCTCGGGCCCCTGACACTTATTGTATGGTCTCTTAACGTGCTAGTGACACCCCTGCTTTTCATTGGGGGGATGGTGCATCGTCTGCCAAGTCTTTTGCTTTCGTAGTGAGTGATTTTCGTGTGCAAACTTCGGTACTAGTCCCTCTAGGATTTTCCAGGTGTATATAATCATGTATCTCTCCCTCCTGCGTTCCAGGGAATACAGGTTTAGAAACCTCAAGCGCTCCCAGTAATTGAGGTATAAATTTTTAATGTAGCTAAATATCTAGACATTTAAATACGATGTATCAACGAGTAATTTAAGGTTTGAAAAATATCAGAGGACCCCTCCAGTTGCTGCAGTGAAACCAGTTTCCTTAATAAAATTGTCCAGGTAAACCATACATAAGTGATAAAAGTTTGAAGCCAATCAGAAGATGCATCCTCGAGTTGTTTCAAACAATCCCCTCAAGGAAGGTTCCTTGATGTTGGTGAGGGGCTCTTGATTTAGGGAATTGGATCTGTGCTCCAGTTCCCAGAATTAAGCCTGAATGCCTTCCACCCCCCCCCCCAGGCGCTGTATAATCCTCCGGGTTTAGCGCTTCCCCTTCCCCTTCCTACCACAAAAACAGTAAATATACAACCATCTAAAACCGTAAATATACAACCATCATTGCACAAGACCGTGGCCCACAGTACAGATGTTGGAGAGGAGTCTCCTTCTTCCTCTACTGGGGAAAGTAGATGGATTATTATTATTATAATCAAGGGGGAAGCGCTAAACCCGTAGGATTATACAGCGCCCAGGGGAGGGGGGATGTGGAAGGCATTCAGGCTTAGTTCGGGGAACTGGAGCACAGATCCAATTCCCTAAATCAAGAGCCCCTCACCAACATCAAGGAACCTTCCATGAGGGGGAAAGTAGATGGAATCCAGGACGGGGTGGCCCTGGCTTGGATACTGAGGATTATAGTGCAGTCCCAGAACCTTCAGAAATTGACAACACACCTCCCAACAATTCTCAACCAAAGGTGAATTTGTACAAATATTATGCTTGGGGCATCTGTAAGCATGGAATAACAGGGAAAAAAATGGGACATTCAACTTTGAGCATTCCAGAAAATGTAGCGACCTCCTGTCTAAAGGAGTGTGTCGTTCTTCTTCCTGTACTTTCTTTCACCCAAAAATGTGCCACTCCTCGGTCCTCCAGAAGCAGTGTTACAACATCGAGTGCCCTGCATACCATCTAAAAGGGACCAGGAGGCACAGACCCCACAAGACAAACAATAGTAGCTACGACAACCCAACTCCAGGTGATTTTTTAGTGGCAGGAAACGAAAAAAGAAAATGGAAGGAAATAACAAAAATAGTCCACCACCTTGGAGCCTTGTTGGACTGGAGGCGCAGCCAGTGGCCACCCATGGCCCTCCAGAATTACAAGTACTGATGCCAATAACAAAATCCCCCAACAAACACAGAATACAACCTCGTTCATATTTGCTAATATACAGGGCCTTAAGCCATCCACCAACAACAAAATACCTTTTATCAGTGGACTTCTAGAGGAGTCTAATGCAATGTTTGCAGCCTTCACAGAGACACAAAAGATCACTGACAGTGAAATATGGATAAGTGGTTACAACCTTTTTAGATGCGACAGAAAAAACAGGCAACAAGGGGGGGTTGGCCTGTATGTCAAAGAGTCCCTTATCTGCACGGAGTTGCTGAACACCACAAATGAGGTAGTTGAAGTTCTATCAATAAAGATCGAGAACCAAAACCTAGTCATTGTGGTTGTATATAAGCCACCAGATGCAACCTCACAACAGTTCAAGGAACAGCTACTGAAAATTGATTACTGTTTGGAAAACCTTCCAGCTCCATCCCCAAACATCTTACTGCTTGGTGATTTCAACCTAACAAGACTTTGCAAAAGCCTTCGACAAGTGTGACCATGGCATAATAGCGCACAAAATGCGTGCTAAAGGAATAACAGGAAAAGTCGGTCGATGGATCTATAATTTCCTCACTAACAGAACACAGAGAGTAGTCGTCAACAGAGTAAAGTCCAAGGCAGCTACGGTGAAAAGCTCTGTTCCACAAGGCACAGTACTCGCTCCCATCTTGTTCCTCATCCTCATATCCGACATAGACAAGGATGTCAGCCACAGCACCGTGTCTTCCTTTGCAGATGACACCCGAATCTGCATGACAGTGTCTTCCATTGCAGACACTGCAAGGCTCCAGGCGGACATCAACCAAATCTTTCAGTGGGCTGCAGAAAACAATATGAAGTTCAACGATGAGAAATTTCAATTACTCAGATATGGTAAACATGAGGAAATTAAATCTTCATCAGAGTACAAAATAAATTCTGGCCACAAAATAGAGCGAAACACCAACGTCAAAGACCTGGGAGTGATCATGTCGGAGGATCTCACCTTCAAGGACCATAACATTGTATCAATCACATCTGCTAGAAAAATGACAAGATGGATAATGAGAACCTTCAAAACTAGGGAGGCCAAGCCCATGATGACACTCTTCAGGTCATTTGTTCTATCTAGGCTGGAATATTGCTGCACACTAACAGCACCTTGCAAGGCAGGTGAAATTGCAGACCTAGAAAATGTACAGAGAACTTTCACGGCGCCATAACGGAGATAAAACACCTCAATTACTGGGAGCCTTGAGGTTCCTAAACCTGTATTCCCTGGAACACAGGAGGGAGAGATACATGATTATATACACCTGGAATAATCTATCAGGGGACTAGACCGAGACTTTCACCGAAAACATTCAGCTACGAAAGCAAAGACTTGGCAGACAGAGCCCATCCCACCAATGAAACTGCCAGGGGTACTGATCACTAGCACGTTAACCGAGACCATACAATAATGTCAGGCACGAAGCAGTTCAACTGCCTCCCACACACATAAGGGGATTCACCAACAGAGCCCTGGCAGTCTTCAAGCTGGCCTCAGACAAGACACCTAAACGTCAGTTTCACTGATCAGCCGGCATGGGCTAGTACGTTTTTTTGCGTGCAGCCAGCAGTAACAGCCTGGTTGATCAGGCTCT